TAATATTACCGAGCTTGTTGCGGCTATAGGCACTAATTTTTATCAATTTTATGTATAGTGGAATATGTGGTATACTCGCAAACTCATTAAGTTTTATTCATATAGTTGTGGATAAAATGTATTACAAGTTGTTCGTAGGAAGAGCTCAGTAGAACTATACACATATATCGAAAATAAAGATTTATGTTGTTTTTGTCGATTGACCCTGATAACTTTATGGTTTCAAACAAATGAATGTCACGTTTTGTTTTTTTAGTTAAAAGTTTTAAATCGGTTAACCTGTTTTAAAATGAAAATTCTATTTGTAATTTTTGGGACGTTACACCCATGGTAAGAGATGTTGCGTGGAATGTAGATACGGAGTGCTGTTGGTGGACTGGGGAGGGAGAAGCCTTAGATGTTGGATCGAGAAGGCCTTAGGTTCGGTTTCCTAGTTGTTGGGCATAAGAAGTTGGCTGATACATCTGCCAGGTAGGTTGGTAAGTCCACGGGATGGTAAGTCCACAGGAAGGGCTACCAAAGCAACACAAAGAACAACCAAGGCAGTTGTGGTGACTGGATGATGAAAAGTTGCGAGCCGGAGAGAGGTCACCCGTTTTCGGAGCTGCCACGACGAGGCTGGTTGGAACGATGGCCCCGATAGTTTCCAAAATTGGATCTCGGTTGGGAAGTTTGTTGTGTACTGGTGTGAAGAGCTGTAAGGGAGGACGAATGATTGGTGTGAGATGGTTGAGATGGGTAAAGACATTTGATGTGAATTTCTTCCTACGTGAGCATATATATCGAGCTTCAAGAAAAGTTGACAGTGGTTGATGATGGCCAATAAGAGTGGGGATGTTTTCCAGACTTCGGTGATAGGCCATTAAGGAGGTGGGTGACCAAAATCTTCTCGGCTACTGGGGAGCCGATGTTTGCTAAGAGATCAACAACAGTTTTAAGTTTTTGACAATATTTCACAATGGAGTCATCACCAATCATCATGTTGCGAAGGTCATTATCTAGTTCACTTGCACAGGTGTCTTTTTGGTCACAAAATGACTCCTCCAAACTAGTCCAAACCATGTGAGCAATGGCATCATGTTTGAGCATCATGTTGAGAACTGGTTGCTTAACAGTGCCATATAACCACATTTTCACTATAGAGTCGAGATTGTACCATGGTTCATCTTTACAATGGGTTTTAATTAATTCCCTCCATGAATCATAGTTCAATTGATTAAGGTCCAAGATAAGTGGAACATAAACCGTGATGTTGGTGCATCCATATGATTTGTGGTTGCCTATCGAAGTGTTGGGATCCCCCATGATAAGAACGACTGAGCTAGGGTTGCCACTGTGTAAGGAAAAGAAAAAAAGATTAAATGATTAGAAAATCTCTTACACCATGTTTGTGTGGTATTTTCCCAAATGGGCTATACTATTAGGCTATACAAATACATACAAAGTGGGCTTCGACTTAATACACAAATATCTTGATGATGACCATGAAGGAAAGTGTTCTTAAAACTATCGTGTTTTTTAAACTAAATTGGTGAAGCTATGGTCACTGGTCAGCACACGCTCCATAGTGGAGTATGTGGTTCACCGCTAGTGTTCCACACGTTTTGTGGAACCATGGCAATCAATGCAGTGTTTGGGCACGATGGTGGCGGCGTTACATTATGGTGCGTTGATTTTGATTGACCTGTGCTAAAAGTAAGAAATAGGCCCCTAATATAAGAAAAATGATTAGTTAAAAATCATGTGAAAAGGGAAAGGCTAGAGGTTCGAACCCTATTCATTTTGTGAAGGAGCCTACAACATGTAAGTCTTTTAGGAGGAGATAGAAAAAGGTGCCTCATGGAGCCAATTGAACTAATAATACTTTGTTTTGTTTACCTAATATGAAATATAATATTTAATAACTATGTAAATTGAAAAAAAAAAATCGGCCTTATTTTTTCCGAGGCCCTATGCAGTGTGCACCTTGCACACCTTGTATTAAACACACACAATAATATTAAATGTTAATAAAGTGGTAACAGTAATATATATATATATATATATATATATATATATATATATATATATATATATATATATATATATATATATATATATATATATATAGGTTCAGGTTCATTTGAGACCATTTTAATTTTGTGAGACCGTGAGACCAAATCTAAAAATAATTTTAAAATGCAAAATAAATGGAAAAATCCAAAAATTCTTTTTTGAAACATTATTTTCGGAATTTGAATTAACTAAAAAAAATATAAAAAAATATAAAAAAAAATTAAAAAAAATTCTGTTTTTTTTTTGAAAAATACGTGAAATATTCTAAATAGAATATTACACTGACATATTTTAAAAAATAATTTTAAAATGCAAAATAAATGGAAAAATCTAAAAATTCTTTTTTTAAATATTATTTTCGGAAATTGAATTAACTAAAAAAAATAAAAAATAAATAAATAAAAAAATTCTATTTTTTTTTGAAAAATACGTGAAATATTCTAAATAGAATATTACACTGTACATATTCTAAAAATAATTTTAAAATGCAAAATAAATTGAAAAATCAAAAAATTCTTTTTTTAAATATTATTTTCGGAACATGAATTAACTAAAAAAAAAAAAAAATAATGCGTCTCACAGTCTCACAAAATATAGGTGGTCTCAAATAAACCTAACCCTATATATATATATATATATATATATATATATATATATATATATATATATATATATATATATATATATATATATATATATATATATTGAAATAATACTGCGAACACTCTTTGTTTATCTATTTCGGTATGAAGTAATCTACATAGAGACATAAACATATCTACTAATGAAATAAACTAATCTCGACTTTTATTTATTTATTTATTTTTCAATAAGATTTACAAAACAAACAAAATACACTGTATCATAGATTATGACCGAACTAAATCTATGCCACATGGATCAATTTGTATATATAAACGCAATAAAATAAGATAACAATATTGATATAATCAAGGTTTCTACTTTAATTGTTTTTGGATTTGCAAGATCGAGATCGGGAACCTAGGATCCCACAAAATAAAATATAATTTTAATTTATAATTTTTAGTTATAAAATATATTTCAAACACTCAACTTTTCGTTCAAAGTTATAAAAACTTCAAAATACTAGTCATAACATAAAACAAAATGGTAAATTGTTAAACGGTAAAAAACATAAAATAGTAAAAAAAATCATTTGCAAAAAACAAAAAAATCAAGGGAAATTAGGATCTCGATCCTACGATCTTATGATCCTACCTGCGATCCTACCCTAAATACGATTTTGACAACCATGGATATAACAAATTGATGAGATTAATTATTTCAAAAACCTTATTATATTTTTCATGTAAGTTAAATTTAACTATTATAAGTTTATAGAAACAAAAACTTAAAGTCAATTGTATTTAACACCCAAAAAGATCTATGAATAATATCACATCATGTATTTAAGATTTTAATTAGATGTGGCAATAAAGGATATCGCATAATGAGTTGGGGTCAAAGAAAGGTCGACATGGCTAATGAGTTTATGTTTTCTATCATGTCCGAGTATTAATTGAGAGAGGGTTTTACATCGAAATAAAGTGTATTTATGAACACATCTTATTAATTTTTTTTCTTTTTTGAACTATATGATAAAATTTAGATGCAAAAGGCTTAATATGGGTAGTAATTCATCCTTTATTAGTACCTAAAATAAATGACCCACTGAAGTTGGGGGATTTTCGTCCAATTAGTCTTATTGGATGCTTATTAGAAAAGACTCTCGCTAATTGATTGAAAGGAGTAATTGGTCACAACATAGATGAAGTACAGTCAGCATTTGTGGTCACACCTTCGACACATCACAACCTTCAGACCTCAACATTCTCCCCCTTTATGATAAGTGTCGAATCTAGGTTGTGAACAATTGAGCAGCTTTATATAACAAGCTCCTTATCTCTGAGTACCAATTGATAACCTTCTTAATCTCTTCTTTCTCATTGTCGTTTTTCTTTGCACAGCTCTTCATTTGAATCAGCAACTTTGTGTATTGTGACGAAGTGTATTTTTCAATGTCGCTTAACTGAAACAAAAATTTCATCATTGTACCCTTTTTATTCTTTCCTACAAACACTATCCCCAAAGGCTTCAAGAAAATTTCCCCATCTTCGTAATCATTGAGAAAAGACTGATCCTTGATCAATGATTTAAGAACAGTAGCTTTCTTTCCCAATGTTGTAGCAAGATCAATATTAGTTAAAGTTAGGGCTCCATAATAACCATCAATGAATACCCTCAAGTGTTCAAAACCTATCATGAAGTCTTCCTTGTTTCCTTGTTGGAGTTTCAAATAATCAATTGACTTAAAGATCTTCGCAATAATCAAAATATTATATAGATTCATCAGTGGGAAGTCGGCAAGAGAGAAGTGGAACACTTCATTATTTGCCCTTATTACAATGTATTGATAGTTCTGTAACATACCCTCGAATAATATTATCCTTGGTTACGTTAAGAATTTGAACAATTCTAACTGAGGACCAAACTACATCTTCAATCTTTCCCAACACTACATGGAATCAATATTTCAAGCATCTAAACTCCTCCTTATCTTTGAACTTGTTTGCATGATCGAATTGCTCATCACGAAACAACATTAGATTTATTGGAAAATCTAACTGACTGAGATTAGTATTCTCAATGTCATAACTCTTTTTAGGTGTTTTGTTAAATGAATGCATCTCACCCGAAAAAACTATGGCTTCGATATATTCATAGTTGAAATACTTAGTAGGATCACCTTTATTCATACCAGGAGGATCATTTTCTCTAAGTTGGAGTATGCTTTGGATCTATCTCTGTTTCTCCATTTCTTGTTCTATGGCAGCTTTCTTCTCTTCAGCAGATGGTACATGCAAGACACCCTTCCCTTTACTCTGTAATTGTTCTATGGTAGGAGGAAGTTTTGAACTTGATTCTCAAGCAGCAAAACCACAAATAACGATTCCTTTTGTTATAGGCCTGGTTGTCATTGTTGTGGAAGTCAAAATTTTTGAACCAGTTACCAACGAAATAGGAATTTCAGTTGAAGAAAATTTTCCCACTACCTTCGTATCTTCATCATTTTTCTTTGAAGAGCTGCCACCAGTTCCAAACACAGATCCCCTGCCAACGTCTATCTTCTCTACCCCTTGCACCGCTGTACAAACAGGTCGGCCATCTGTTGGCATAATATTCAACAACTTCAATAGAGGGGCTAACTCCTTTTTAAGAGTTGATTCAAGCAAAGAAAACTTTTGGGAAAGAAGCATAGGAGTTATTAACAAAGATGAAACCATACTTGTCTTGAGCACCAAATCCTTCAACAACACCAACAATTGATTAATACTCAAAAAACTTTGAACGTCATCAACAGCCATATGCTCAACCCTCGGACCAAGAGCTTCATACAACTTGGAAAACATGGTAACAATATCTGTAATGATATCCACTTTCTGATGAAGAGATGAATAATCTTGTTGTAAAACATCAATCTCTTTTCCCATATCTTCCCTGAGTTCTTGAAGTTTGAAATTGACATCTTCACGAACTTTCTTCACATCTTGAATAAACAAGAAATGTCTCCCCTTTGCCACAACCTTTAATTCTATTAAATCATAAGTAAAATTCAATGATTGTGCCTTTACCCTTTTCTCGGTATTACGATCAACATCAGAAATAGCTTCATGAAGTCTGTGTTTTTGACACTTAAGAATAATATCAACTTCGAGACTTGACACCGAATGTTTATTCCCGCCACCAGCTTGAATTTGCAAAAGGGAATTAAGCTTTTGGTTAAGAATTTTAAATTGTTTCCTAGTAAGTAACATGTTATCTGGAATATTTTCCTCTTCCGGATCAAATTCGAGATTTGCAAAACTTCCATCAAACTCATTTTCATCATCACTCTAAGCTTCCTCTTCTTCATGAGTGATAGGTGGATCAGTGGATTGGGATGAAAACAAAGATGTAATCGGTTGATTGAGAATGTTGTCGAATGTGGGTGAGTGGGCAACAACAGGAGTAGTAGACACAAATGGAGGTACATAAATAGAAGTGTCGATTGTGGAAGTATCGAGGGTAGATGAAATAAAAAGATAAGAAGTACTTGTTCTTGAAAAGTTTCGACAGTTGACATCTGAGATGAAGTAACAACTATCTACTCTGGTGTAGAAACTTTTTTGGAAACATCAGATGTTGTGACAGGAGCAATAGAAAGTCTAGTAGTCTCGACATTCGACCTAACCAGAGAATTCGACACAGGTGAATCTGGAATAACTTCATCTTCTGTAGACTCATCATTAATGACCAACTTTTGAAGTTTCTTCCTCTGCTTTTTTGAAAGATGTTTTTTCATGTCTTCTTCCTGTCTTTTCTTTGAAGCACGAGAAACTGGTACTCCAACTTCTCGAAAAATAACCCCTTTGAGATTAATCTGAGGTTTAACTTTATACGAAGGAGAAAAACAGCGTGACTTTTCAGATGAACCAGATGGTTTGTGAGCCATCTTCTTCGGTTTCTTTAAAATACCAGACTTCAAAGGTAACACAGAAGTATCTGGTTGAGATACTTCAGGTTTTGTGGCAACAATTAGAGGTGGCTCATTGGGACCTTGCTTTCTAGGTGTAACAACTTTAGCATCTTTAGTATGTGATGGTTTCGAAGGACTTTCAAGAACACTCTTTTTTGATCCTGTCTTCGGCTTCGAAGGACCAACAGTAAGAGGTAACAACACTCCAGTTTCGACATCTGTGTTAATAGTCTTCAAGTAAATCACCAACACCAAATGATCTGGATCCATTTTTCGAAGCATGGCATCAGGAATGCGAGCAACCGTAGGAAAAATAGTAACATCATCCTCAATTGTTTTAGGAAAATGAAACAGTGAAAATTTTACAATCTCCTCATTCTCAAGAACTTCGATCCCCTCCTTCTCATATGCAAACTTTAAAATAAGGCTCCAGTATCAAGCACATGAGATTCCATCGATGTTATTAGTGTTCCCAACACTTTTGACAAACTCATTCCACAACTAAGTTACATAATCCACATGTAAATCATAATATAACTGTGCTACCATCGCGTACACCTCCAATCTACCCTTGTATAGCCCCACAGTTCTTCTAGTTAGACAGCGGAGGTATATACCAAAGAAAAATTCCATAAACATGACAACCCAGACGTCTTGAATTCACTAATTTTGGTGAGAGAAGGATGATAGCCCATTTCTTTAAACATGTAAATGATTTGCTCAGTAGTTACCTTGTACAAAGGTTTAGCATTAGGAATACCAAGAATTTGAGCAAAGTGCTTCTTTTATAAATGAAACTTCTTCTCATTCAGGAGGGAAAAAGTAACCGTGTTCACAGTTTTGCTGTATGTAGCAATAGACCCTTTAAGAGATAGGCATGAAACAGATACTGGAAAGGCATCAAACATTGTCTTTGACAATACAGAGTTTTGAAGAGCAAGAGTAAGAATCTACAACTCCTCAGGATACACAAAAACATCGCTTTGAACTTGGAAATTAGTGCTCTGGATCTTCATCAACAGTTGTGAAGTGACATCATCGGTGGTTTCAGATGGATCAACGGTGGTGTTATGAGCAGCCATTGTAAGATTTTGAAGAACAATGAAGAAGAAAAAGATTTCTCATGATTTAGAGATTTCAGAAAGCATAAAATTGGAATGTTCCCCAAAAAACCCTTTATATAGATGACCATAAATTTGAATTTGAAGCGGTTTCAGCATTAATTACACCTGACGTGCCTCTGTGAAAATCGTACCAGTCCGCCGATAAAGTAGCCATGTTTGAGAAAGTAATCATCACTTTTCCTTGAAACTCAGGTTGGAATACAAAATGTTACATCAAACAGCCTGTTAACATGCCCCAAGAGAATGAGAACCGTCATAAACCTTTAGGATGGAGGTTGGGCTCTTTTACTTTCGGGTTTAAAAGAAAGTCATATGCCAGACTTTTGAAATCATTAACCTAACTTAGTATTACTCAGAACCTCAAGGATTTCGTGAGTGCAACGTGTTCCAAAGAAAAATATAAGATGCGAATTAAGAAAATTTTGGATCTGTGATGTCAAAAACATTTTCGACACAAAGGCAGTTAGATCCCATGCAAAGATCACTTCATTCAACTTCAAGAGAGAAGTTAAACTATTTGTGTGGTTTCCCATGAATTACAATCGACTACTTGCTGAGAAGTATCGAAGGGCTTCTTTAAGCATGTCTTTGAAGGTGGCTTAAATTTTTTTTTTACAATGCACTACTAAACATAAGAGTGACAAGTTGTAAACAAAATTACTTGTTTCACCAGTGTAGTCAGTGACAAGTAAGCTTTGAAAGAATTTATTAAGTAACCAAGGTTGAGAATGATACTCAAACAGAAATCGTATTCTTAAAACCAAAATTAGTCCTAAATCTTGTTGGGTAACAAATGTTGTGGGTGTCGAACATTTGATCAAGATTACTACAAATTAAAGAATATGATTTTGAGTATCGAAAACATGTACAAAAAAATGTTTTATTAACTCTAGAACAAAGTTCCCCGTCAATTCCTTAAGTTGGTTCGACATTTAGGGTTTCACTTTCATCACGGTCTCATGATGTTAGATCATAAACACAAAGTTTTGATATGTCAAGATCCTGATTGGTTTATACCAGAAATCTCATGGACATATCTCATAGTGTGTGATCATGTAAGAACTTTAGGATGAAAATGATTGGTGTAGAGATTCGAATGTACCACTGTTATATATGGACCAAGGAAATAACTATAAACTCATTTGAGTAGAGTATGGTAGCTCATTGACTAATGGGAAAATAACCTAGTTGGGAAGAATTCTCGGAATGAAAAATTCATTAAGGCTTTGAAACCCTTTGACGCTTGGAGGCTTGGATCCACATGCTTTAGCATGCTTCCAGGGACATCCTAACTAGGACAAAGTTTCAAAAATATACATGTCCCTTAAGCAGCCAGCTTGAACCTTTGCAAATCTTCGCTAACACGAGCTTCTAAAAAGACTATCAAAAACAAAAAGTATTTTTGAATTTTAAAGTTTTTGAACAAAAATAACAAAAATAACGAAAAATATTTTTGGTATTTTTGATATTTTAAAATTAAAAACAAAAATGAAATATTTTTGTTGTTTTTGATTTTTGATAACGAAAACAAAAAAAAATATCTGGCCAACAAAAAGTTGTAAGAAAGCAAAAATAAAGAAAATCTTTTTGGTATTTTTGATGTTAAAAAAATGTAAAAATAAGATAACGAAGATTTTATAAAACTGTGATACTCAATGTCGAAAGCGAAGCATCTCGAAGATTTGACTATAAACAGTAGTCGTTGACTCAGACAACTGTCCTCCATGTTCTCTTTATCAATCTTTCGAACCTAATCTAGGAACTGAATTTCCTTCGATCATTCCTAGACCCGCCAAAATTCTCATGAATGACTTTTCATCTAAAGGCTTTGTAAAAATATCAGCAAGCTGATCAATGGTTTTTACAAAGTGAACTTTAATATTTCCATCCTCGACGTGATCTTTAATGAAATGATAATGAAGAGCAATGTGCTTAGTTTTCGAATGTTGCACAGGGTTATGGAAAATGCGTATGACACTTTGTGAATCGCAATACAAAGGAATTTTATTCATATTGACTTCATAATTACGCAGTTGACTTTAGATCGATACAATTTGAGAAGTGTAAGCTGCAGCAGCCATGTATTCTGCTTCTGTTGTCGAAATCGAAACATAGTTTTGTTTCTTCGATTTCCAGCTCACTAGCTTCCCATCGAGTAATTGACATCCACCACTTTTGCTCTTACGATATAGATTGCAACCCCCCCAAGTTTGCATCTGAAAATGCTTGAATAAAGAACCCTGTTTTCGAAGGATACCATAATCCTAATGAAGGTGTCCCTTTGAGGTAACGAAAAATATTCTTAATTGCAGTGAGATGTGGTTCTCTTGGCTTTGATTGGTACCTAGCACAATTACACACATAAACATGATATAAGGTCGACTTTCCGTAAGGTAAAGTAATGAACCTATCATGCTCCGGTACAAAGTGATGTCCACAGCAGGTTTATCTAATGCAGAACTCAGCTTCGTTCCAACCGCCATTGGTACTCTAAGCTTGGTGTTATTCGTCATGCCAAATTTTTCAAGAAGATTTCGTGTATACTCCTCTTGATTTATGAAAATGCCTTCCGTACTTTGATGAATATTTAAACCCAAAACGTTGTTGATTTTGCCCATCATACTCATTTCAAACTTACTTTTCATCAAGTTTTCAAATTCACTAGACAAGCCAGGGTCAGTAGAGCTAAAAATGATATCATCAACATAAATTTGAACAAGCATTAGATGATTCCCAACTTTCTTTCGAAAAAGAGTGGGATCAACTGATCATCGTTTAAATTTCAAAAGTTTCAAACAGTTGGTTAGAGTTGCATACCAGGCTTGTGGTGTTTGTTTTAACCCATAAACATCTTTATCTAAGATATATCAATGATCAGGATATTCTTCGTTAATAAAACCTAGAGGTTGTTCCACATATATAGTCTCTTCGAGTTCACCATTGAGAAATACACACTTGACATCCATTTGATAAACGTCGAAATCCTTGTGTGCTGCATGGGCTAAAAATATTTGAACAACCTCCAGTCTTGTGATAGAGGTGAAGGTTTCTTCATAGTTGATTCCTTCTTGTTACGAATAACCTTTAACTACAAGCCTAGCTTTATTTCTCACTATGTTACAATCTTTATCAGTTTTGTTTTTAAAGATCCATTTTAAACCCACAACGGAAACAT